AACACAAGCATCCACTGCTGCTCTGATTCCCCCAGCACCTGATGTAACCACTAAGACATCAACACGAAAAACTCTCTGAAAAATTACATCCAAAATACTTAATTTCTTGGCATGATATTCACAAGTCACACACTGAACTTCCCAGAATAGTTTCTGGAAGATCCCAATAATCCATATGCCTTTCTCAGTAAGTCAAAGCCTACAGTAAATTGAATCTCCTTTACATCTACATTTGAAGTGTTCCTAACTATCTGATAGGAGACCAAGTGTAAATAATAGAACACAAATCTCCATCCTGACTGAATAAACTTTAATCTGGAGAAGTGCCATGTTTAGATAGTTCCAAGGGCCTTCCCCAGGCCTCCAGCAGCAGCAGATTTCTATTCAGCTGATTCCATTGATGGTATTGCACTGACATGAACACAGTTTCAAACACACACGAGATCAGAATCTGATCAGTATTAGAGGGGTTCTTTTTCCTAGAAATATTCCTGCAAATGTCATCAAGCTAATAAATTTACCCATAACTGTGTCAGCATACAACTCTACACACTTATTGTATTTATAATATACTAGAAAACTAACCAATAAATCTTTATGGGAATAAGCAGCTTTCTTCTTTGAATTATAAGCTCCACAGTAAGCATGACTCTAAGAATAAAATTTAGACAATTAATACCACTATACGACAGCATCTTCAGTCTTAAAATACAAAGAAGACAAACAAAAGGATTTAAGCTTTTTATCACCTACAACAGAAACATCACAGGAAATTATAAGTACACGATTAGAAAAACATGCCATGCTTTTATTACTGTGTTAAAAAAAACTGACAAGTGAAACATAACCAATCTTATTCTGATTAACACAGACTTGGCTTACGCTAGTGCTCGTATTTCACAAAAAAATTTAAACAACCTAAAAAGCTTAATAATACAGACTATTTTAAGTGCTATGTTGAGCTCTCCTATCTGTAGGTAATTCAGATAACACTGCTGTTTAAACCAATACACCTTTTTAAGCCGCTTACATATTCCTCTTAGCAGTACTTGATGCTTGTCTTTCTAAGGAGGCACACACAAATCTTACCCGGCATAATACCACTGAGAATGTGATGCATTCTACCATCACTTTATAAAAACATGAAGGAATTTTTTAAAGTAAAGATATACAAACCACCTGCCTTTTCTCAAGACTGAAATAGTTTTCTTTTAGATTAACTGAAAGTCTCTACAGGGAAATGGAGAATACTAATAGATGCATACACACACTTGTGTTTTTTTTAAGAGAATGTCCTCCAGGTCTAATCTGTATGTCATTTCATTACAATGCTTAGTGCTTAGAAATAACAAATAAATACTAAAAAGTGTTTACTTATGACAGCTGTCTTTTCTCCCTGAAAAAGTTTATACATGCATTCTACAGAAAGCATTAGAATCACACAACTATTCTAGGTCTGAACGTGTGATAGTACAGATTTATACAGCTTTTAAAATCAGTAATTCCAAGTCGCTAGTTAGTGTCATTACACCTTAAAACCAAAGCACAAAAGCAGTCTTCACTCAAAGACATGCAAAGTGTTAACACATAGGGACCAGGTATCTTGCAGATCTATCCTTAGTACTGTCATACTGAAGTAAGAGAAAATGAAATTAAAATCCTGACATTAAAAAAAAATTATTTTTTTCAAAGAATCACTATAAAGACTCAAAGGAACATTTGAAGAAAGTATACTCTACTAATTATGACAATTTATATACAAAAAGAGGCTATTTATCCAATTTAAAAGGGCATTCTGAGGCTAGAACACTTAACAAAAACTAATTTCTTCCTCAACAGTATCCCAATTAATGAAAACTGCAACAATTTCAGACACCAGTAGGTTATGTGAAATATTTCATGTGATTTCGGTAACAGCATTTTAAATAATCAAGCAAAGCAGTAGGACAAGAGGGCATAGACTCAAGCTCTGCCAGGGGAGGTTTAAGTTGGATATTAGGAAGAGATTTTTTACAGAGAGAGTAGTCAGGCATTGGAATGGGCTGCCCAGGGAGGTGGTGGATTCACCATCCCTGGAGGTTTTCAAGATGAGACTGGATGTGGCACTTAGTGCCATGGTCTAGTAACCACAGTAGGGTTGGACTCGATCTTTGAGGTCTCTTCTAACCCAGCTGATTCTATGATTCTATGGTAGATTGTATTAAACTGAGACAGTATTTGTAAGGTTATGTTACAAAAGGCTCATCTCCAAACAGGCAGAGCAGCCCAGAGGCTCACCAGCCCTTGTGTGGAGCTGTACAACTCAGCATGATGAGATGACTCCCAGGGCACCTTACAGCCTGAGGAAGGACACTGCCCACAGTGCACAGAAGATATTACAGGACGCAGGGGGAATAGCATCGTGGGATCAGGGAGGAAACAAAGGTGGGGAAAGGGAGGGAATAAAGGTATTTTCAGAAGGAACAAGTGTATGAAAAAGGAACAGTGCAATGAATGGGAGACCTGCGTGTAAGAGACTGCTGGTCTACCAGATTTGGCAACTCTTAACAAGACTTAGGAAAACAGCTTTGTAATAATAAGTTAGGCCAGTGTCCCATGTTTATTGCCACTCAATAACAGCAAAATCCGTGAAATTTAGGCGCTGTTCTTTTTTAACATAGAAAGCTTAAGTTTTCACAGCAAGCGTGTTTTTTTCCAGTTCATATCAAATTTCACAGCTATTTTTACTGTAGGTAATGCACAATAAAAAAATTTAACTTAGTATCATCTTAAGCCTTCTTTAAACACCATGCAAAGCCAGAAACTGAAGGTAGTTTGAGATCATTGTATGATATACTGCTAATAGCACGTTGGAGTATTCCCCAGTGTAATTTTCAACATGAGGACTACTGAGAGGACTGCAAGAAAAGTAACTTATTTTTGTCTATTCATATGACTGAAAATTCCTTCAAGAATCAAATCAACACCAAAAATTTTCCTGGGTTTAGATTTGATATTTGTTTCTGAGTTAATATAGGTCAGAGTTAGTTATTATGGTTTCATACTGTTTTCAATTATCTCGATAGTTCCAATATATCCAATAATAACAATATATGAAACAATTTTTAAATATTATAGGAGTAATTTAGAAACTCTGGCATCTTTTTTTGTTGCTGAAAATATTACCATACAGGACCCATAGGACACTACTAGTTTCAACCAACTTAACTATTTATTTTCTAAAAAACAGTTTCCATCTCTATTACCTACCAATAAGCAATGTCTATCAGATAATGAAGATAGATCACTCAGATACACATTATCATCTAAACCTTTTATAACTATTAATAGCTTAAGAGTTGACTAACAAATGTTTCAGTTGCCTAAACTAGGAATACTAGAAAATATACAGAAATACCCACTACTGAAAAAGTAAAATTTCTGTACTTCAGCCTTGACTGTAGTACTAAAATCACAATATATGAGAGAAAAATGTTTCCTGTCATAATTTCAGCAACATCTTTCTACCTATCAAGATTGATGTACAACCTCTGCCACTTCATTTTCTCTTTTGGGAACATTAGGAGAGACTGAAGAGATCAATTCCCTTCTTACTTGTAAGTGTTCTGTCTAGAAGATAACTTCACTAAGCACTTTGAGTCCTCAAATTTGCTATGACAAAGAAGCATGCTTACACCAAACTACTGCTTTGGTAAGTAGACACCAAAAGTGTTATAATGTGAACTGCATCAAAGCATGCTCATTCCAGGTTACACACCACAAGATCTCTCCTTTTGGAGACACTTGCTCTGCTCCTGTGAGATGCACTGACATCTAAAGAACTCTTGAGAATGAAATTATAGAAAAATATCAATATTTGAAATACATGTAAAATTTTAATTATAACTGTTAATCTTCACTGAATGACAGAAAATAACTAAGGCAGTCAAAGAAATTCTAAGTAAGTCCCATAAAAACGAGCTGTTATCTGCCCAATTCAAGCCCTCTTCTTTAGACAAGAGTCAATTACTTAATTGCTATCTTAGCACATTTGGTGTGAGCAAACTTGCACCAGGTCACAAGACTCCATGCGTTGCACATAGCATATTTTACATGTGTTTTTCTAGAAACCATTTACTATTTGAAAAGCAGTGGACACTACCTGATTTGAATTATTCACCTGGTAAAATTATCTGTGTGACAAATTGCAGAAACACTTAACACCAGGATTTTTAAGACTAATTACACAAAATGCAATTAATCAAAGATTACATTTGAGACCTCTTAGTAGATGAGAATCACTTTTTTTGAAGTCACACAAAGAAACAGCTCATTCCACCTTCCAAAATAAAAAAAAAAAGGCAGCTAGTTTGCCCTTTTCCTGGCCTATATACCCAGACTGATGACAAATTGATTTCTAAGCAGATCTACTAAACGAGGAAAATATTTATGTAACCTCAATAAAATCATTCTTTAGCACTGTATATGACCTAAACAAGATACAGAACAGCGTATACAATACGATAATATTTCTGTTAGCAGTCTTTGGGATACTCTTCATCACTCATGCAAATTTTTGTTGTTAGCAAATAATATATCCCCACCTTCTCAGAGAAATAAAATGTTCTATGATACCAAACTCTTCTTCAAGTTGTATCTTAAGGTACCATTACTACTTCTTCCACAAATACTACAGAAACACAGTAATACTTACAGTGCGAGGAAAGACTGAAAAATTGAAACATATAAAAATGCTTGATATGTTTATTATTTTTTTGATGTTTTTACCTTGTTAACACTGATGCAAATAGAATACCAAATGAACTTACTCATTTATATGTGACTTAAAATAATGCCTGTAAAACTGCTCATACTTGAGACACTTAAAGCTTCATCCTTCCCATAAGAAATAGAAACAAAACCCCAAACTTTTTTTTTTTGTCGTGGTGGTTTTTTTGTTTTGTTTTAGGTTTGTTTTGTTTGCCATGATCAAAAAGAAAGTATACAGCTTGAACACAAACCAAATATGAATGTCGACTGGACCGGTGAGAATACCTGGCCCTCTCTGAATCTTCCTGAGAAAGAAGAAATGCAGAGTTATTTCACAGGGAAGAAAAAAGGGAACACTACAAAAGTACTTGGAAGCAAAAGTGAGCAAAATGATTTAGCACTTTTATATGCCAAGTGTCATTTTAAATAATCCATAGTGGCAAGTGAACTCATTCAAATCAGAAGAACTGATTTCACATGATTTGGGTAAATATGCCAACATGCTACATTAGGAGATGCAAATAAGGCAGGCCAATAGAACAATTAGTGTTCGGTAGTTAGTCTTTTTTATAATTAGTGTATCAATACAGAAAAAAGGCATGAAACTTTTTTAATTAAGAAAGCAAAATAAAAATTGAAAAATGCTTTACAAAATTACAAGTATGTTAGTAAGAAATCTGCTCTGGAATTACTAAATTCAAATTGTGACTATTTTATGAAGTTATGTTAGCTCTAATAGAGACAATTGTCAGTTTCCTCATACATATTTCATATTTTCTTCTCAATTATAGGAACACAGCTTATTAAGCAAATTGATCAATTTTAAGTTCTACAGCTAGTTCTGCTCTACAGTGACAGTGAAAATAATAAACCCAATTTATAACATTTGAGGGAGGACAACTAGCTAAGGCACCTTAGTATCTTCTGTTCTGTTCAAAGATGAATGTACATTTTGGCTCACACAAAGGAATATGTGAGAAGCAGCAGAAAAAAACTAGAGTCAATTTAAAATTAAAACATTAAAATGATTCATATGCCATAAGCATCTCAAATTGTTAGTTACAGTATGTAAACATGTTATGAATAACCTTAATTTTAAAACTATTTCATTTGAAGGCTACAACAGGGCTGTAAAACTAGGAATCCTTCCTTAAATGACTCACTTCCTACAGTTTTCAACATGTCAAACTATTTTTAGAGTTAGAAGCTTCGCCTCCAGGTCACAGATAGCTATCTGAAGACTACAGCTGGCTTTCATACTGCTTATGGTCACATGGTTATTTTCTACATTATCACTGGATACTTTAACTTGTTCAAGATTATTTTATGACTACTCCAGAGTCGTAGAGCCTAGTTAAAGTTCTGCAAGAAAATTTCCTGAGGTGGGCAGATTCGTTTCATAATGACATACTAGTCTTCCTCTCTGTAGTGTCTGTTTTGAGGTTTAAAATAAACACCTATGCTATTTAACTTTTCAACACAATATAGCAGATCATTGCCAATTTTAAATACACATTGTGTCTCTGGTCTAAATGGTCTAAATGTCTGCAGCTGGCAAGCAGACAGTTTGCTATTTGCATAACATTCCTCTTAATTGCTGGGTAACAAGTCTCCTGACATTCAGCGAGAAAGCAGAAAGCCAGTGTTAAGTGTTCAGCATATTCAGGTCAAAGGATAAAGTACTGCAGTACATACTGCAAACCGTAGCTGCTGCTTGTATCTATCAGGCTTGATTTCTAGCAAAAATTAAGTCAGTATTATGCACGTTATCCAATACAGAGGTTACAGCTCCCAACCCAGGAAAGGATCAGAAAACTCCTGCAGCAGATGTGCCTCTTACAAGTGCAAAAACAAGGTGGCATTCAGTTGAGTGGCATTAATTTTGGTATCAGACTGCTCACAAACGCAATCTGTGTCCCACATGTTGGAAACCCTTGTTCTCAAGAAAAAAAAAAACAAATGCAAATGTGCATTCCCCCAAGAAATAACTGAAATCTATGCTGTTCTTCATAAGTGACATGAGAAATAATATACTCATAAACGTCAGCTAACCAAAGACATTAGAGAGTCAGCACAACCTTTGCAAATAGAATTCTAAGGACAGTTCTAGGATTTCTCAACAGAAGTGACAATTAACTCTCGTAGTTTTTACTATTTGAACTTATGGCTAGTCTCAGCATGTATTACTTACTTAAACCTTTGTGACTTGAAACATTCACAAAATGAACACCTTCCTAAAAACCAGAAAGAAACTACCGTCTCCCATATACCTTTTTAACAGGAACAGGAAGTTTGTGAAAGGAACACTCTAAAGAAACATTACAACAAATTAGAACAAATTGCCTTCTCATATTTTTTCACAGTTCACTCAACTATCTTTAGACCTTTCCTAATAAATCTAAAGAGCCAAATATTTCATTACATTATTACCTAGAAACAAGGGGGTTTTATCTTTTATAATTAATGTTTAAGTCACAGAAGTGACTTAAGCATCAGTAAAGACACTAGCATTTGCCATGTTACTCAAAGAGGAAACTAATAAATGCAAGACCAGTGAGAGAAAAAAAACAAAGCAAAAAACTCAACCCTGAGAAGTCAAATGACACTTAAAAAATTATTATTGATGTTCACCTAATTGAAACTAATTTCATTTCATTTTAAACAGATTAATGACTTTAAGCCAGCTCATGGTGGAAACACAACATTTCATTTTGAGAAAAACATCTCACTTGACAACGTCTGTTGCTGCCATAAAGTACCCTGCATATCCACATCCATATAGAGCTTCTATGCAATTGTTTTCAGTAATAAGACACTTTGAAATGACACACAGCAAACCATTAGTAAATTACTTCCTCCAAATCCTGTTAGCTCTCTGAGTGGCAAAAACATGCACAACAGGTGATTTTAGCCTACCATCCATTTCTGGATATGAGCCCATTTTCTATCATAGGAATGCTGAGAAAACTACAGAATGTAAAAAGAAAACCAAACGAATCATTTACAATATAGTCACCACACAATACAGGATTCCTAAATTGAAAATACAGACAAATCTAAGTTAATTGCCATGTAATCTTCATGATAATAGTAGACACCTACAGCAGTTCAAAAACTGAAACTACAGCATAATGAGAATCATATAAAATTGAGGCAACAAATGTTTTGCAAATTCCTCTTGTTATTACCACAGAAAAAAACAACACAATCACCAAATACCGTATTATATGGATTTCAATGTAATCATGATACACAAATTCTCAATCTTTTGCATGCAATGTCAAAACCTGAACTAAATGGAAGAACCATAAAATAACCAGACTGCTGAAAACCTAGTTCCTAGGGTATTTTTCAAGAAATTCAAGAAATGCAAGTTTGGGTTTTTTTAGGAGAAATGTGTGGAGTGACACACAACTATATGTAAATTACCCCAATTCTATTAAATTTTTTAAAATAAAGATCTTGACAATAGGTATTTATTGTGAATTCTTTCAGTATAATCCAATCCTAATGCTGAAAATACTAGCATGCAGCTGAATTACAGTAAAAGACAAAAATCTTATGCAATTACAGAAATACAATACCTTAAGAATTTTAGTAAAGGTTTGCAGTAATTCCTGACAAGTTACATTACCTCTTTTTGCTGTCGCTCCAGCTCTCTCATACGGATATCTCTTGCTTCTGCTCGAGCTGCCCGTTTGGCTGCAAGCCTGGCTTCTGCCTACAAGCAAATTGAAAATGATGGAAATTAAAATCACATTTTTTAATAATGGGTTTGAACACTCAATTTAATAATCTCTTCAGAAGTACACATTAAGATTCTAACAGACTAGAAAAGAAAGAGTTCTCAGAATGAAATTTAGAAAGAATATGTCCATAACCCTTTACAGATAACATTGCTAGTCAAAAGAATTACACGTTGATAAAAGAATGACTTGGGTTGGAAGAGACCTTAACCATCATCTAGTTCCAATCCCCAAACCACATGCCACCAACTAGACCAGGTTGCTCAGGGTCCCATCCAAACCTGCCTTAAACACTTCCAGGGATGGGGCATCCACACCTTCTCTGGCCAATCTGTTTCAGTGCCTCATCACCCCAACAGTAAAGAATTTTCTCCTAACATCTAATCTAAGCTTACTCACTTTTAGTTTAAAACCATTCATCCTCTCTTGTCCTAACACTAACTGACCATGTAAAAAGCCACTCTCCCTCTTTTTTTAAGTCCCCTTCAGGTACTGGAAGGCCATAATGAGGTCATCCCACAGCCTTGTCTTCTCCATATGGAACAACCCCAGCTCTCTCAGCCTGTCTTCATAACAGAGCTGCTACAGCCTTCTGGGCATCTTTGTGGCTACTACTGAGTTCTTCTCCCAGTATGTACCCATGTCTGGGATTGCCCCAACCCAGGTGCAGCACCTTGAACTTCATGAGGTTGCTATGGCCCCACTTCTCAAGTCTGCCCAGGTCCTCATGGATGGCATTCCTTCCTTCAACTGCGCTGCTTAGCTTCATGTCATCTGCAAACTTGCTGAAGGTACACTCGATCCTACTGTCTGTGTCATGGATAAAGACATTGAAGAGCACTGGTCCCAAGACAGAGTCCTGAGGGAGATCACTCATCAGAAGCCTCCACCTGGACACAGAACCATTGATCACAACTCTCAGGCTGCATCCATCCAGACAATTCCTTATCCACTGAATCAAATCACTAAATCCATCAATTTGGCAATAAGGATGTTGTGAGGGGCCATGTCAAAGGTAAGGCCTAATACTACTTAGTCTAGGTAGATAGATGAAAGCTGTCAGTCTTCCCTTTTAAACTGTTGCTCCATCATAAAAGGCCACCAAATTGATCAAGCACCACTTGCCATTAGTGAAACCATGCTGTCTGTCTTCGAACATCTCTGTCTTGCATTTGTCTTAACATTGTTTTCATGAGGATCTGCTCCATAATCTTCCCAGGCACAGAGTGGAGGCTCACCAGTCTGTAGTTCCCTGGGTCTTTATTTCTACCTTCTTTAAAAATGTTTCCCTTTTCCAAGTTACTGGTGACTTTGTTTGACAGACATGACCTCAAATATGATGGGGAGTGGCTTGGCAACATCAGCCAGTTCTCTCAGGGCCCTGGGATGCATGTCTGAACTGAGTGCAGAAACATTGCTATCACTACATCCTGAAAATTGATTCCTGTGGACTTTAACAGGACTTTGCCTATGCTTAGTACTTGAACAGGCATGTATGCACCTGAAGAAACTTTGGCCACAAAAAAAGATGTTAAAATCATAAAAGAAATAATCAGAACAAAGTTAACAAGCCACTACTGTTCATGTCGTATTTAAAGGCTCTGCTACCATTTGGAATTATTTCAAAAAGCAAACATCACTTAGAATAATTCAAATAGCAATCAAAATCAAACTGATTATTGGATGAAATGCAGAAAAGAAATTTAAGATTACCAATCCTCAAGAACTACCTTCAACACTGACTATCACTACAAAAGGACTTCCCTACATTTCCATGCAAGCTCTTACACTCCCAGCACCTTCCTTAGACACAGCTCCAGCACTTGGAACCTGCTGTAAGCCAATGTAACTCACTACCACAGCAGAAAGTTAACATTAGCAATAAAAAGTAGTTTTCGAGTCTTTTTACTGTATTAGTAGAATGAGTTGGCACAAGCAGGACAAAGAGTAGCAAAACCTTCCCCTTTTCAGTGTCAAAAACCTTACTTCTGCACTGCTTATGAAAAATGGCTACTGGCAGACACAACTAGGTATTTTCTCCACTTTCTATCCAGTCTCAACATAAAAAGAAACACATTGTCCTTCAGACCCTAAATGCTACCTCAAATTTAATCAGTTAATTACATGAGGGAATAAATTTTGCCATAAAGCTAATGTTTGAGGAAAGCACAAGCTCATTTTTTTTCATATTCCAATAATCAGTTGATAAAAATTTTCTCTTAAAGTCTTGAAATATTAAACCACTGAAGACAGGTTTTCCACCAAAAATTCCATCGTCTGTCTAATGTTAATAAAAACTTATGAGAAACACCAGCAGCCAAAAATTCAGAACTCCTAACAACTAAACCACAATTTTATAGAAGTTCTTAAAAATGTAACATTCAATGGGGTTTTGACTTTCATTAAGGGCAGGGCTTTTCTGCTCTAGCCACTATCACAGCATAGGTTTATGTAGAACACTGGAAACCTGTAAAAATTAGCAATTGCAAACTGTTTTACCGTGCGTGCTTCAGGAAGAAGAAAGGGGTATTTAACTCAGAGTGTAACTTCAAATTATGATTAAGCTACAGGTACAAAAATATCTATCAAATAATGACAAGAAAGAAGGCAGACACATTACAGCTTTATTACTCAAAACATATTGTCTTAACTTCAAGTGACTCTTATAAAGATTGTTTTTCTGTATTTTGCATACTCAGATATAACTATTCCATGGGTGTGACAGCACTCCTGACTGCCACAATGCAAACTTTTTTCAGAGCAGCATAAAGCTACTACAACTACTACTACAATTCCCACCTGATGACAGCACAGAAGTAAAGCAAGGAAATTCCCATTCAACAGGGAATACTCCCATTTGCAGCCCTACTCTGTAATTATCACCGTGCCACATATAAATGGTCACAGACAAGTCTGCAGCACAGAAAGAAAAAGGACTGGGTTTAGTTTTCTCTATAGAACAGCAGACAGGCACATCAAGCCTGGAGGCTCTGGCAAGGCTTTATTGTTAAAGATACAAAGTTAATTTGTTTACTGATTCACTCAAAAAATCAATTCACATTTCATCACTCTCTCCTAGCCCTACAGTCAGAGAACCAACTTTCCAGTTCCTACAGTAGAGGGGGAACGCTATTTTTTTAAATTTATTAAGCCTTTGATAAAACACAAGTGAATTGTACACACATTTGTCATAAAAATGGGTGCCTGAAACTGAAAAAAATCTTATCTTTGTAGAGAAACTCTTAGCAAGAAATGGCTTTGTGTTAAATTAATTATTAATCTGAGCAACTAGATTCCTCTCAAAAGCACACAATTTCAACAAAAGATTAAAAAGTTGGCACATAAACTGAAAGCACAGTTCTTGCGCTTCCTTCACCAATTTAGAGCAAGAGACAAATCATCATTTGAAAGGCCATCAAGTATTTATTTGTTCTCAGCAGACCTGTTGGAGCACAGGCCTCATGTTATTAATAGGAGTACTCATACACACCTTCAAAACGATGTAACTGAAATTCAAAAATTAACAATAATAAACAATTTTAATTCAAAAGAACACAGCTTTCTTCCTGGGTGCTGCTATTCACTGTTACCTTACTGAAGAAAGCCCATTAAAGCTGTGAAACAAATTACTACCAAGAAACTCTTCACAAGTTAATTTTATCAGCTTTTAAATACCTATGGAGGAAAATACAGTGCCACAACAGCTTTGGACAGACAACTGAATTGAGAAGGTGAAGCTGCTAAGACTATAGAAGCAGCACAGACAAACTCTAGACTACTTTTTATTTTTTGAAATAAACCAGCAAAGGTACAGGCAGTCACATTACAATGCTTTTTCAATTCAACTAGTATTTGAAGTGAAAAGAGCATTTCAAATGCTCACAGGAGCTTGAGAGTCAGTCCAGGTTGCTTACTACAGCTTGCATTAAAAAAATTTCAGTCTTAGAAACGTACAGACTGGCTACTATAATCTTGATTTCAGTTTCATTGGTCATTATTTTCTATACTATTCTATACATTACT